CGTGTACCGCAAAAAAAAAAAAACAAAAAAAAACACATGGAGGCTAAATAATAGACTACTAAATAACCAAGAAATCACTGAAGAAATCAAAGAGGAAATCAAAAAATACCTAGAAACAAATGACAATGTAAACACAACGACCCAAAACCTATAGGATGCAGCAAAAGCAGTTCTAAGAGGAAAGTTTATAGCAATACTATCCTACATCAAGAAACAAGAAACATCTCAAATGCACAACCTAAACTTACACCTACAGCAATTAGAGAAAGAAGAACAAAAAACCCCCAAAGTCAGCAGAAGGAAAGTAATCATAAAGATCAGATCAAAAATAAATGAAAAAGAAATGAATGAAACAATTGCAAAGATCAATAAAACTAAAAGCTGGTTCTTTGAGAAGATAAACAAAGTTGATAAACCATTAGCCAGACTCATCAAGAAAAAGAGGGAGAAGACTCAAATCAATAGAATTAGAAATGAAAAAGGAGAAGTAACACCTGACACTTCAGAAATACAAAGGATCATGAGAGATTACTACAAGCAACTGTATGCCAATAAAATGGAAAACCTGGAAGAAACAGACAAATTCTTAGAAAAGCACAACTTTCTGAGACTGAAACAGGAAGAAATAGAAAATATAAACAGATCAGTCACAAGCACTGTAATTGAGACTGTGATAAAAAATCTTCCAGCAAACAAAAGCCCAGGACCAGATGGCTTCACAGGCAAATTCTATCAAACATTTAGAGAAGAGCTAACACCTATCCTTCTCAAACTCTTCCAAAATATCGCAGAAGGAGAAACAGTCCCAAACTCATTCTATGAGGCCACCATCATCCTAATATCAAAAACAGACAAAGATGTCACAAAGAAAGAGAACAACAGGCCAATATCACTGATAAACATAGATGCAAAAATCCTCAACAAAATACTAGCAAACAGAATCCAACAGCACATTAAAAGGATCATATACCATGATCAAGTGGGGTTTATCCCAGGAATGCAAGGATTCTTCAATATATACAAATCAATCAATGTGATAAACCATATTAACAAATTGAAGAATAAAAACCATATGATCATCTCAATAGATGCAGAAAAAGCTTTCAACAAAATTCAACACCCAGTTATGTTAAAAAACCTCCAGAGAGTAGGCATAGAAGGAACTTACTCAACCTAATAAAGGCTGTATATGACAAGCCCCCAGCCAACATCATCCTCAATGGTGAAAAACTGAAACCATTTCCTCTAAGATCAGGAATAAGACAAGGTTGTCCATTCTCACCACTATTATTCAACATGGTTTTGAAAGTTTTAGCCACAGCAATCAGAGAAGAAAAAGAAATAAAAGGAATCCAAATCAGAAAAGAAGTCAAGCTGTCACTGTTTGCAGATGACATGATACTATACAAAGAGAATCCTAAAGATGCTACCAGAAAACTACTAGAGCTAATCAATGAATTTGGTAAAGTAGCAGGATACAAAATTAATGCACAGAAATCTCTTCCATTCCTATACAGTAATGATGAAAAATCTGAAAGAGAAATTAAGGAAACACTCCCATTTACCATTGCAACAAAAAGAAAAAAATACGTAGGAATAAACCTACCTAAGGAGACAAAAGTCCTATATGCAGAAAACTATAAGACACTGATGCAGTAAATTAAAGATGGTACAAACAGGTGGAGAGATATACCATGTTCTTGGAATGGAAAAATCAACATTGTGAAAATGGCTATAATACCCAAAGCAATCTACAGATTCAGTGCAATCCCTATCAAACTACCAATGGCATTTTTCACAGAACTAGATGAAAAAATTTCACAATTTATATGGAATCACAAAAGACCCCGAATAGCCAAAGCAATCTTGAGAAAGAAAAACGGACCTGGATGAATCAGGCTCCCAGACTTCAGACTATACTACAAAGCTACAGTAATAAAGACAGTATGGTATTGGCACAAAAACAGAAATATACATCAGTGGAACAGGATAGAAAGCCCAGAGATAAACCCATGCACCTATGGTCAACTAACCTATGACAAAGGAGGCAAGGATATACAATGGAGAAAAGACAGCCTCTTCAATAAGTGTTGCTGGGAAAACTGGACAGCTACATGTAAAAGAATGAAATTAGAGCACTCCCTGATACCATACACAAAAATAAACTCAAAATGGATTAAGGACCTAAATGTAAGGCCAGACACTATAAAACTCTTAAAGGAAAACATAGGCACAACACTCTGTGACATAAATCACAGCAAGATCCTTTTTGACTCACCTCCTAGAGAAATGGAAATAAAAATAAACAGATGGGACCTAATGAAACTTAAAAGCTTTTGCACAGCAAAGGAAAACATAAACACAATGAAAAGACAACCCTCAGGATGGGAGAAGATATTTTCAAATGAAGCAACTGACAAAGGATTAACCTCCAAAACTTACAAGCAGCTCATGCAGCTCAATATCAAAAACAAACAAACAAACAAACAACCCAATCCAATACTGGGCAGAAGACCTAAACAGACATTTCTCCAAGGAAGGTATACAGATTGCCAACAAACACATGAAAGGCTGCTCAACATCACTAATCATTAGAGAAATGCAAATCAAAACTACAGTGAGGTATCACCTCACACTGGTCAGAATGGCCATCATCAAAAAATCTACAAACAATAAGTGCTGGAGAGGGTGTGGAGAGAATGGAACTGTCTCGCACTTTTGGTGGGAATGTAAATTGATACAGCCACTGTGGAGAAGAGGATGGAGGTTCTTTAAAAAAGTAAAAATAGAAATACTATATTACCCAGCAATCCCACTACTGGGCATATACCCTGAGAAAACCATAATTCAAAAAGAGTCATGTACCACAATGTTCATTGCAGCTCTGTAGCCAGGATATGGAAGCAACGTAAGTGTCCATCAACAGATGAATGGATAAAGAAGATGTGGCACATGTATACAATGGAATATTACTCAGCCATAAAGAGAAGTGAAATTGAGCATTTGTAGTGAGGTGATGGACCTAGAGTCTGTCTAACAGAGTGAAGTCAGAAAGAGAAAAACAAATACCATATGCTAACACATATATATGGAATCTTAAAAAAAAAAAAAAAAGTGGTTCTGAAGAACCTAGGAGCAGGACAGGATTAAAGATGCAGACATAGAGAATGGACTTGAGGACCCAGGGAGGGTGAAGGGTAAGCTGGGATGAAGTGAGAGAGTGGCATGGACATGTATACGCTACCAAATGTAAAATGGATAGCTAGTGGGAAGCAGCCACGTAGCACAGGGAGATCAGCTCTGTGCTTTGTGACCACCTAGAGAGGTGGGATAGGGAGGGTGGGAAGGAGACGTAACAAGGAGGAGGAGATATGGGGATATATGTATAGCAGATTCACTTTGTTATAAAGTAGAAACTAACACACCATTGTAAAGCAATTATACTCCAATAAGGATGTTAAAAAAACAAAAAAAGAAATAGGTTAAAAATTGTTTCAGTGATATTGGGATTTTTTTTTAACAAAACAGAGTCTCTTTCTTATCCATAACACACTAGGCCTAACACTGATATATTAAAATATATAAAAATATAACAAAATATATTAAAATATGAAATATAAAATATTAAAAAATATATTAAAAATATAACAAAAGGAAACACAAAATAAAACCCAGAGAAAAACCAAAGTTCCCATTTTTTGAAACAGCTCCTGATTCATGGATTTTATAGGGTATCAGAAACTGTAATATGCCCAGTCATCCCATTTCTAGTCACCTGACTGAAGTCATAATTTACTGAGAATTACCCTGTATGAAACAATCCAGAAAACGTATTACATAGGACTAATGTGGAATAAGAGCTCATGATTGACAGCTTTTATCACCTAAATGGATATTGATTTTGATAATTCATAATCTTTAGCAGATCTTTAACATTTACTGTGTAGTCATTAATTTGCTTTTGTTAGTAAGATTTAGGAATTCAGATACACTGTGGTATTTACATTACATTTAACAAATACATCGTCTTTGCCTATACCAAGTCCACACTTTACAATAGACTCAGTATGAACTGAGAGACTTAAATGTAGGTCAACATCATGTACAAGCCATGCATATTGTTCAGATGAATCTCACTATAACAGTATAGTTCTCGTTGCTCAAGTCCAATATAATAATCACCTGTTAAGAAGCAAGCTCTTAAATGTTACAGGCAGAACCTAAGTGGTGGCTGCACAGCTTAGGTAAGAATTCACTGTAGAATTCTTTCAACTTTTCTAAATTTTTGAAAATTTTCATAATACTATTTTGGAAAAAAATCTCTTTTTGATATGGCAAGAACCATATTGTACATTTTTTTCTGAAACAAGTTGTATATGGCTCATCAAGTTTGTGTTTTTGCCATCTGTAATTCAACTCATTCTGGAATGTTCCAGAACTGAGTGCCCTATTTACAGCATTCTTTTTTGTGCCCCCTTTATCTGTAAAAGAAAAATGCCAAGGGACAGTTAGTCAGTTTTAATGTTGTGAGCAATATTGATACCTTTTATTGAGGAAATGCTGACCACCATTAGGTCACATGTTTTTATGAGGTAAGATGTTTTCTCAGTCACAATCCTCTATAAAGAGGGACCATTTTTCTTTTGTATCCTTAGCCACTTAGCACCGACTTAGACCCACACCCACTCTCCCTCATTCATTCCTTAGCTCACTTATTGTCTAGGCATATACTGGTTAACAACCTAGGTTTTATAACTGTTGAGGCCTCAATTTTAACCTCAGATTTGCCACTCATTGGCTGTGTGAGCATAGGGGCAAATGACTAACTTTTTAAGCCTCCATTTCCTTAGCTAGAAAACAGAATAAATATAAGGTAAGCTTTTATCGGTATATTATTGTGAGGATAATATAAGTTATGTTAAGCTCTTATCACACTGTAAATACCAAATAAGTAGTTGATATTGTCATAGTAAAATAAGGAATTAAAAAAATACCCTGACCTTATGATGATGTTTACTTCACAGAATCAGTCAGTGCACGGGGAGTGGCAGGGTGAGGAAGGCGTCCTGGGGGTGTCAGGTCAATAAGTGCCCAGGAATGGGAAAGTTTATGAATATTGGCTCCAATAAATGGATATCCAGATTTAGCGAGATATTGAACACTGTCATGGAAAAACTTCCTATCGCCAAAGTTGAAAGCATGAGATTGTTGTTATTTAGAGATTCATGGTATTTGGGGACTTTTTGCTTTCTCCCGAGGGAGTAGTTTTGTTTCTCAGCCTGGTAATTCCATCACTGCTTTTCTTGTTTGTTAACATAATTCTGAAAAACTCAAAGAGGCCATTTCTGCCCTTATTTGGTGTGTGGTCAACAAGGAGAGCAGCATGAGTTGGAATTAGTGCTGCGTTGCCGATGCTTTTCCAATTAAACACCTTGTCTTCAGGATCCCGTAAGTTTTCAAAAAATAAATGGTAATGGGGCTTCCCTGGTGGTGCAGTGGTTGAGAGTCCGTCTGCCGATGCAGGGGACACAGGTTCGTGGCCCAGTCCGGGAAGATCCCACATGCCGCGGAGCACCTGGGCCCGTGAGCCATGGCCGCTGAGCCTGCGCGTCTGGAGCCTGTGCTCCACAACGGGAGAGGCCACAACAGTGACAGAACCAGTAGAGGGTTTTCAATCTGCAAATAAACATTAAAATTTTGCCATGAGATTAACCTTTAAACGTAACAGCTTGATATTCTGTCCTTACACACTTAGGATAAAAAATTTAAAATGGGGGAAAAAAGGACAATCAAAACTGAAGATTGTTACCCTTCTGAAACTGGTTAAATGATATGCCGACTTACCATGTTCATGAAGTGACCATTTTAGAGGACAATTCTTAAAACTAGAAATGTTTCTAACAGTATGGATAATAGTTTTTCTAGTTCTCCAAAAAGCTTATCAACAGTAGCAGTGCCTAAGATCTGGGGTGACATTTTCTAAACGCTTTTTTTTTTTTTTTTTTCTTGGGCCTCTCACTGCTGTGGCCTCTCCCGTTGCGGAGCACAGGCTCCGGACGCGCAGGCTCAGCAGCCATGGCTCACGGGCCCAGCCGCTCCGTGGCATGTGGGATCCTCCCAGACCGGGTCATGAACCCGTGTCCCCTGCATCGGCAGGCAGACTCTCAACCGCTGCGCCACCAGGGAAGCCCTCTAAATGCTTTTATGTAAAGTACTCCATTCATCTCAAAAACTCTGCAATGGTTCTCTTTTGGATAAGACACTGAACTCAGCAAGGTCAGGCAACAGTGCTCAAGGTCATATGACAAGTTCATAGCATAACTGTGGCTAGATCTAATCTCCCTTACTGGGGCTACCCTGAATACTTGCCCAATGGTGTTTCATCAAAAATCAGACAAACAAACAATTCTGGGGACAGGCCTATATTCATTTGGTCATAACAATGACAGTGGTTTTTCTGGTTTTGTTATTTTATTTTATTTTAATTGATTGATTGCTACAGTTGTGACTTTGTCAGAAGGTACATCTAAGGACAGAGAAAATAGGTAAGTCCCACCTAAATTACCCATGGTGAAATTTTTTGCCCCTCTTTAGGAACATAAAAGAATATAATGTAGGGGATGCATCTTATTTTCAAGAAGTCCTGAGATGATTGGTTTACTGATTCATTAAACAGAATTATTGTGACTTGTTTATTTTGCTAGGCACAGAGGATGCAGTAGGAAAGCAGGCACAGTTTATGTCCTCATGATGTTTAGGTCTGTCAGGGAAGCCAGACATTGAAAAAGTAATTGCAAATGTGCTGACAGTGACAAAGATTAAAGTGCAGAGTGCTGTGGAGACATCCCTTGGTCTGAGAAAGCAGGGAAGGCTTCCTGGAGGAAGTGGCTTTCAAGAGGAAGTTCTGTATCCACCCTTTCACTCACCAGTCAATAACTAAGGAGGATTTTTTTTTCAGTCTTCAATCATGAGTACAATATTGAAAATAAAATTTTTCTGACTTTTAAAATCTTCACATACAGAAATTTAGACACTGACCCCAGAAGACTTTTACACACATTTTAAAACATCATGTTTAGTTCTTTATTTCAAGTGATTAGCCTATACTAATTTTAAAGAATTTGACTCTAGAAATATTTCCTGTTGACTACTTTAAAAAATCTCCTAGGACTTTGTCAGTCACTTACTAGACACTTAAGAAACATAAAACGTCTTTCTCTTCCCTCTCATTTCTTCCTCCCTGTTTTTTTCCCTACAACCCTCATTTACCCAAGTGTTTAAATAGAACTCAGTGCCTTACTGATAGAAAGGGCTTGACCTAATTATCTTCCAAATTGCTAAAACATTCCTAAAACATGTAGATAGAAATCTTGAGTGTATAACAAAGAATTTTGATTCACAATCCGGTTTTATTTTACCTTTTATTCTTATATTTAATCATGCCTCGTCATTTATTTTATTCTATGTCTTCATAATTTTAGCTCTTTTCAAATAACAATTGTTGGAGAGGGTGAGAAGAAAGGGAACCCTCCTGCACTATTGGTGGGAAAGTAAGTTGGTGTAGCCCACTGTGGAAAACAGTATGCGGGTTCCTCAAAAAACTAAAAATAGAGTTACCATAAGGTCCAGCAATTCCACTCCTGGGCATATATCCAGACAAAACTATAATTGAAAAAGATACATGCACCCCTATGTTCAAAGTATCACTGTTCACAATAGCCAAGACATGGAAACATCATGAATGTCCAAAGATAAATGGATAAAGAAGATGTGATACATATATACAATGGAATACTACTCAGCCATAAAAACAGAATGAAATAATGCCATTTGCAGCAACATGGATGGACCTAGAGATTATCATACTGAGTGAAGTCCGATAGACTAAGACAAATATATGATATCACTTATATGTGGAATCTAAAATATGACAGAAATGAACCTATCTACAAAACAGAAATAGTCTCACAGGCAAAGGGAACAGACTGGTGGTTGCCAAGGGGGAGGAGAGGTGGGAGAGGGATGGATTGAGAGTTTAAGGTTAGCAGATGCAAGCTATTATGTATAGAATGGATAAACAACAAGGTCCTACTGTATAGCACAGGGAACTATATTCAATATCCTGTGATAAACCATAGTGGAAAAGAATATAAAAAAGAATGTATACATATGAGTACACATGTATAACTTAGAAACTTTGCTGTATAGCAGAAACTAGCGTGACATTGTAAATAAACTATACATCAATTTTAAAAAAACTTTAAAAATTTTTGTAATAAAATAATTACTAATAAAATAGTAATAATAATTTTAGCTCTTTAGTTACATTTTATTCCTGTTTGTGTCCTGGATTATATATGAATAAAGGATGCATTTGAAGCAGGTTAATATGCAGAGTATGCTTTCCTAATGCTCTTAAGACTGTGGGGTACCTTCAATTCTGTTAGCACTCCCCTGGGTTACAGCTCATAAAAAACAGTTTCCAAAGTTTCCTTCATTTCAGAACATGGAATAATTCACCTCTAAATCAAATAGACACACATAAGGTTTAGAATGACTATTTGAAAGCAATTCAAAGAAAACAGCGTTATTTTGCAGCATTTCCATTTGGAGTAATAATTGATAGTTGATGATACTGTATTAATGTAATAAGAGGGCTTGTTTAAACCACAGTTACTTACATGGAATGGATCAGGTTTCAGAAGTGCACAAGTCCACTTGTTAAATTTCCTTTCGGCACACTCTTTTGCAACGGATCACCCTGAAAATCGAATTGTTATGATGAAATGATTATCAGAGGTAGCTGGTAACATGAAAACGAAATGCAGTTGCTGGCTTCCACATTAACTTCTGCTGCCTTTGAGTCTGCAACCAGCAGCTATTTCAAAATACTGCATTATCCTGAACCCATATCTCTGCCTGCTCTGGTTTCCTGAGGCAATGTATTTCAACATCACACAAGCCCATTAATTTAACTGTCTGTTTCTCTGAAGTTTAGCTCAAAACTTCTCCTTCCGCCTATCAGACAGTGGCTTGGTGTGTAAATAAATGCTTGTGTGGCTTATGTTTAAATTCTCCTACTTTTAAATTTGGGATTTTTCAGATTTGATTCATAGTAGCCATCTCCTATAAAGGAAATTCTGAATTTCTGTGTCAAACATCAAACCCCAAACTTGCATTTTAACATCTGGAATCTTGGAACCAAAATCCCAGAAATGTTCAAGAGGCAAAAATGTCTTATTTAGAGCTCTGCAAAACATAAGATCTACGTTATTGGCAGGAGGCAGGCATTTTCTTGCGATTTTGGAGAGGATAGGAATTATGTGAATAACAGTTGGGTGAACACAAAGTTTAGATTTCAGAACGTGGTTTTCTCTGCCACATAAGTTTAGTTTCCAACTTGTAAAAGAAGAGTTTGTCTCAGGGACAAACTGAGGGAACATCTCTCCCTGATATTCAATCATGCTTTTCCAAAAACAACTTCTGGGAAATAAATGCTTACTAATATAACAAATTAAAACATTCAAAAGATTCTACTTCATTTCCTTCTCCATCCTTTAGTACATGTGAAGTGAAAGTTATAACCAGCTGTTTGAAATACAAATGACAGCACAGGTTCATCCTAGCAAACATCTTATTTAATTTTCTTATTGTTTCCAATTGCCTAAATTCTCATGTCTGTGAAGTACTAGCCAGTCCCTCAAAATAATATTAATGTTTATACTTGAAATCAAGGCTTAACTTCGCTCATAATTAATCTCAGAAATAACTAGTTTATTTCCGTGACCTTGCTGAGACCTGGTCACCTAAGGGGGATTATGCCTAACTGTACAGAAGAAATGGGATGGAGGTGGTGAGTATTTTTAAGGAGAAAATAACATTAACATTGGCAGATACTTCTTGTATCTTTATCTAATTTCACATTAGGAAAAAGGACCAAAGTTTCCATTTTTCTGCTCATCATTTCACATTTATAGTTCCATTGTTTTGATCTTGCTTAACTGTTCTAGATATCTGCTTTCAAGAAGCAGAGAGGGAAAAGAAGAAACGTTTCGGCAATAATGAAAAAGACAACTCTGCATCTCCTTCAATTTCTTTTAGAAGAAGGTAGACATTCTATAATACCTTCATTGTGCATTATTATTATGCCCTTATACTTCATCAATTAGATATCAATTAACAGAACATTCTTTTCAAAATGTAAATTGGTATGAACAAAGACAAGCATCGGTCAAAATGCGTGTTGCTGGCTTTAGCCTGGCTGGGAAGACAGGGTCCATCTTGCCTTGACAAGTGCGTTTGGGCTAACAATGCAAACAATATTTTTCTGCTTCCAATGTTGTATATATGGACTGTGGCTTTCGTATTTAAAAACCAGTGATGCTATTTGTCCTACAAAATTTGAAATGCCACTGGATAAAATGAGAGCTTTGTATTGCATGGAAGGTGAATGAAGGAACTCTTCGCCAGTACCTTCCCTCCTATTCTCTTACTTGTTCTGTGTCCACCCCCCTCCCTCCCTTCATGCCAATCCACCTTCCACTCTACCAG